AGTAAAGTGATTATAAACCATTTAAAAACCAATAAATAACATTTATTTTGTGAAAATTATTTATATAAATTTTCGCACAAATAGTAATTGTCCGTCAGTTTAACAATTTGATGTTTTATCAGTAAAACTGCAACATTTTATCATGTCTTCGTAATTTATTTTTGCTACTGCTACTTTTGCTTTACTCTTGTTGCAGACAGACTTCAATCTGAACATATGAAAATGTAGCATAAAACTATTGTTTGTTGGGTTTGATTATCAAAACCATAACCATTAACCATTTGAGCATTTATGGTGAGAATATTATTTTTATTCTAATTAAGATTGTCCCTCAGTCAATGAACTTTGCAACATTTTATCAAGCCTTAATTTATTTTTGCTGTACTTACGCTTACTTTCTTCTAATCACAGACATACTTTCAGTGTTAAAATAAATACATGCATCATACAATTATTTCAAAAACCCTGATCATCAAATCAAAGAGTAAAATTATTACAAACCATTTGCGTATTTATGGTAAAAAAATGTTTTTACACTAATTATGATGGTCTCTCAGTTGACTAAGGTAATTCATAGTTAGTGTACTAGGTTACAAAAGTGTCAAAAGTGTCAGTATGCTGTAGATTAAATACTGTGAGTCATGTTATGTGTGAACAAAACAAAGAAAAATCAAGGAAATGATATCTTGTAAAATTTCCAATCAAGCTGTAATTGTCAAATTTGTGTAAAAATACCAGTTTTCCACAGGCTGCTACAGACTCACAATGCAGAACAAAAACACACAAGCTTGTCTTTTAAATAGAAAAGCGTGAGAAATAAAATTGTGTGTAAGTACACACACATGTAAAATGGGTAATTCTTTATTTTAAGGGGTCTTTGTTACACATGTTACATGTACTTACTGTAGTCATGTTAATAGTGTCCTATGTGAACATGTTCTGCATTTATTTTCCCCAGTTTTTTTTCTTTTCTTTAAAATCGTATTTGAATGTGCCCGGTGGGCAAATATGTTGTATGCACCCCTTCAATGTCAAATTCGAATAGGAGGAGAGCTTTTGGCATCTAACTCATAATAACTGCTTTCAACAGATCAATCTTTATTCATAAACACATTTATTATGCATTAAAGTCCAAGAACATTTGATGCAAACCCAAAATCTGCAAATTCTTTTAGGAAATCTGTATACGGCCCTGGTGGTTAATTAATGATTAACCCTGACAAAAGTCCTTGATATTCATGAAATTAATTATATAATTTTTTTTAAATATATGATTATTTAAATAATGATCATGTGTAGGCTACACCCATGATTGTTTATTTATTTACTTACTTTACTTTAGTTAAATGAAAATAAATAAATAAATAAAAATAAATAGAATTAAGAAAATATTACATCTATATAATAAAAAATGTATACCTGAAATAAAAGTACGCATTTTTTTTTGTAGGCCCATAGTATTCAATGGCTTACTGTAGTAGGTGATTTCATATAATAATGTAAATGTAAACTCATTACTTGTCTGAATTTCAACATTATAATGGAATCATAAGCTACTAATTATAAAATGAATTAGGGTACTTGGCCAATTAGAATGAAACACATCCAAAATGGATA